ATTCTTACCTTTTCCTCCTTTTGGTATCCTTTTTTTCCCTTCCCTTTTCTTTCTTCCTTTAAAATCATCAAAACATAACAAATATCTCTCCCAAGTCTTCTACCTTTTTGACTCCTTCTATGACTCCTGATTATACATTCTTAGGGGATACTAATATCATCCTTCCCTCTCCGCATTAGAATTATCTTCTACGGTATCTCCTTCAATTTCCTTATCAATACTCGAGCTTGAATTCTTATTAGACTGTTGTTGGAGCAGTCGTGGGGGGAGCTGGGTTGTATTGCTTCCTCCTCCTCTGCCATCTTGGTTGACCATCTCTTGCGACAGCAATAGACCAATAATTGGTCTCCCTGTCTCTAAGCCATCCTCCTCAAAGCTGATAAATTATTACTCCTGAAGTGCTGCTGATATTCCTAAGACACTGATGATTTCATCCTACTACTTAAAATCTTCAAAAGCTAACAACAATTGACTTATACCAACTCCTCAGTCTTGCATTTAATACCTTCTACAATCTTTTTCTTTTTCTATTCCTTTCCTAGTCATTTCATATTATTCTCCTTTCTGGCTTCTCCACTTTATTCAAAATAATGTGCTAGTTATTCGCCATATATGACATTTCATTTCCTACCTCTATGCTTTTGCACAAGTGCTCCTCCAAGTGGGCAGTGCACTCCCTTCCCCCTCACCTGTACCTCACCAAACCCCTAGTACAACACAGAGACTAACTCTTATCTATTCTCTCCCTTTAAAATTACTTTGCACACACTTTATTTATCTGTGTACACACTGTATCATCTCAGGACTCTGAAGGGCAGGTGTTAGCTTACTGTTTTGTATTCTCCCAGACTAGCACAGTGCCTTGCACATAGTGGGCACTTTTAATAAATGATCTTTTAAAATTGATCAACAAGTTCAAGACCTTTTAAATAGACAATAATGTTGAAGAAAGATAATGGCGAGGGTGGGGCACAAAGTCAGGAGACATAACAGAATATGATGAAGTGAAAAACAAACTTTAAAAAATTATATATATACACTACAGATCAACTTTATGGAATCAGTACTCAAAATTCTTATACAGTCAAGCTTTAAGTGCTTCATTACTTACTAACATCCTGACTGCAAAGTCAGGCTAATGTTTACTGCTTGTCACAGGGGAATTTGTAATTCAAGGATGTTTTTCATTTGCTTATAGGACTATCGGAAATTGCCATGATGGATACAACCAACTTATCAATAATTAACTCTTATGCACATCCCACTTACTTATCAAATAGCTTCTGGTTCTTTTCATATCCTTTCCACCTCCCCACCACCCCAGTTCTTATATATATAACTTGTGTAATAAAATTACAAACAGACTAGCAATACATTTTAGCAGTGTCAAAATTAAGCTTTCTGAAAAGCACATAGCACATCAATGTGAAGGTCTGCTCATTAGTAATAATAATAACTAACATTATATATATATATATATATATATATATATATATATATATATAGCACTTTGCTAAGCACTTTACAGTACTATCTCAGTTGACCTTCACAACAACTGTGGGAAGTTGGTGCTGTCATTATCCCCATTTTACAGTTGAGAAAACTGAATCAAACAGAAGTTAAGTGACTTGCCCAAGGTCATACAGCTACTTTGTGTCCAAGGCTGAATTTGAACTCAAGTCTTCTGGACTTCAGAGTAGGTACTCTACCACCACCCCACCCAGCTGCCCCATTAAGCATTCAAAATAGATGTGACTCAGAGCTTTTAGACCACAGGACATGGTGCATGACAATGAAGTGCATTTGTAAAAGCACTAATCCACGCTTTTGTTAAGGACCAAATTAAAAAACACAGAAAACGTTAAAATATGTTTCCTTTTTCTAAGTCATGAGAACTCAAGGCACCAACAATGCCTCAGTATGGCCCACAACAGTGGAAAAACATGTGGAAACCTTAAATTCTTATTGTATAGAGCCCCACATTCTAGTCTGCTGTGGAAAAGTCCAAAGTGAGATTTCTTGGAGCTTATGAATATTTATTATACATTCTTAAAAGCAAAAAAGGCTTCAATATAAATAGGAAACACATTTATAAGCATGGGTGAGTTGTTTACATTATGTAAATTCTAAAAAGATCCATGACTAGAGTTTTGTTAAATGTTTTAAGGAACTGCAGTTCTGAGAGTCGGAGATTTTAGTTAAATGATCACACAATTTCATAATTTTAAATATTTAGGTTTAAAAAAACCCCAATATACCCAATGTTTTATACTTTTATAAATTCTAAGTTAAAAGAGAACAAATTTATTCTTGGTTTTATAAATCCAGGGCAAGGGGGAAGTAACAATAATAACTAATATCCAACAAACATTCACTAAGTGCTTACTATGTGGAAGGCAAGGCATGATGCTAGGCATTGAACTACCAAAAATCTTTCTTGGTGATAACATTTTTCCATTTGGGGATAACAAAAAGTCTTTTTCTTAACACACTAAAATCCCCAAGCACCAACAAAGGAGAGTTTCAGAGAAAACTGATTTCCCATGCATTGACCAGAAAGAAAATTGGGGAATGATTTAAAAGTCCATATTAAATCTATTCCTCCAGTCTAAAAGGGGAACTTTAGCAGGTACCTAGTAACCTAGGGGACAAAATTAGAGCCCAAATGAGTGACTCTTAAATGACCTAGGTATTTTTATCATATGTGTGATGTAATTGCAAGAAGCATACCATGGTATAGGAGACCAAGTAAGGAGAGATATGTTCATACAGTATTAAGATATTTATCTATTATATATTTATATGTAAAAAACACAACTCACTAATTTTATCCAAAACCCATTCTTCTTCTGGGTTTCCCTATTTCGGTCACAGGCCCTACCAGCCTTCCAGTCATGAGGTTCACAGCCTCAATGTCATAGTCAGCACCTCATTTTCACTCATCTCACACATTCATTCAATCAGTTGCAATTTCCTATACTGCAATAGCCTCCTAATTTGGTTTCCTTTCCTCAAGTCTCTCCCCTCTCCAATCCATACTCTAAAGGGACAGAGATATTCATAAAGCACAGGTCTGACCATGTCATTTCCCTACTCAGAAACTCCACTGGCTCCGAATTATCTCAAGGATCAAATATAAACTCCTATATTTGTCATTTAAAGCCTTTCATACCCTGGTTCCGATTTACCTTGCAAGCCCCCAATTCCTCATTACACTCCACAATACAACCAAAGTGGCCTTCTTACAGTTTGTCACAGATGTCATTCATTCTTCCATCTTGGTGCCTTTTCAGTTACATCCACCTTGCCTAGAATCTACTCCCTCCTCACTTCCAACTCATAGAATCCCTGTTCCTTTGATACTCAACTGAAATGCCACCTTCTGTCTACGTGGAGGCTCTTATAGGTTCCCTCAGAAGCTAATCCCTTCCTGTCATAAATTACTTCGTATTCATTTTGTATGTGGCATCTATAACACACATATACATATATACACAATGTAAGGTCTTTGAAAAAAGAGTTTTCTGAGCTCACAACAGTCCCAATAGTTTAGTTTCAATATGGGAACAAATAAGACACTTGTCATTCAAAAGTTAGCAAAAGGAGATTTGCTAAAATGGAAATTTCTCCATTGCAAGAGAAAGATATTCAATAAGGATAGGTATTGAGAACACCTCAAATTGATTCAGCTGGGCAAGCTCACTTATCCAAGTTGCCTATCTTAATCCACCATCCAAGCATCAGACCTCTCCTAAAGCTCCTCATGGCTGTTCTGTACTTAGGTGACCAGGAAACAAAGTCAAGAGCTTTAAGGATGGTCTCAATATCTTTCAAGGAAAAAGCTAATCTAACTTGCACGGAAGGCAAGGTGAATGAAATTGCTCCTACCCCACACAGCCTATTTCCCTTTAATCTATATGTAATCTATCGCAGCACTTAGCACACAGTACTGGTACTTTAAGAATACTAAGGGATTGTCTGATTTATTTAATATGTTGTGATGCTTTTGCTTGCTTGTTATATACCTGAACTTTGTAAAAGGCCTCCCAGTACAAGTGGCCCATAGATATATTTATATAGATATAGATATATATGGGCCACATACATACATACATACACACACACACACACACACACACACACACACACACACACACACACATGTTGAACTCATTTTGTTGAGCTAGATACAGTACATTTATCTCCTGGTTTAACTACTGCCCAAATAGCCTCCAATCACACATACAACAAGGGCACATGGTAAAGATGCTTCTAAGAAATAATGAGTTGGCTCATTTGCAAAACTTTGCTGAGTGCAAATTTAAATTTATATGCTGTTTCACTAGACAATACTGAATTTAGATGGAAAATATCATGAAGTCAAGAGCAATCTTTTCTTTATTTGATAACTTGACATATCTATTCACCAGTTTTGAGGGACACTCATACTCTGCAGACCCTCCAACTCCAGAAAAATATACTGACTACAGTACCTTCATATTTGGCCATATTACATAATCTTTAAAAATGGGCACCCACAGACATAATAATACATTGTATAAAACAGAGAGTAAATGGAATGCCATCCTCCAAAAGATTCCATTTTAAAAGGTAAAAGGTTTCTACAAATGGACTTTCTATAAAGCTGAGGGAGCTTAAATAACACCCTGGGTTAGAGAGAGTCAGTCATTGTCCAAACTAAAATAAGAATTGAGTTCTTGACTTCCATGACTACAGAAGTCATTTTCCTGATTTACTACCCTTTGAATATTGTCATTTGGGAGGAGATTGCTGATATGAATCTAATACAAATATTGACACAAACATCAATCAACAGACATAAAAGGCATGCCACTTGGTTCCTAAAAACTCTGTAAAACATAAGCTTTGTCTTGTTGTTCTCAAGACCATAAAAACACCACCTTCATTTTCCAGTTATATTAATTGCTACACCATTAACACAGGATTCTTGCTTCAATGCTCTATTAACAAGTACTAACCTGTCTTTCTGTCCTGGGGATTAACCAAAACCAATATTTTATGTTTAGGTTCATCACGGTACATAGGAAGGAAGCAAACAGAGTCATCTTCAAGTTTAACCTAAAAAATGAAAAAAAAAAGTTCTTTCATCCTGTACAAGACTACAAGAAAATGCTTTGCTAATAAAAGTATATTCATCAGAAGTACAGTTTTTGATAGGTTAATTTGATAGGACAATGTCCAACTTTATTAAAGAGACAAGTAAATATTCCTTACTATATTATATCCCTAAGCAATTTATGATAACCTATCTCCCCTTCTGCACAAATGTGAATTTCTGTCTCTCTATCTCTGTCTCTTTCTCTTTCCATATATATACATACACACACATAGAGATATATATGTAGAGAAAGAAGATGGAATTATGGATTATAGAACAGATACATGAATAACATACTATAGATTATTATACAAATATATAACATGCATATATACATAGATGTAGATTATTATACATATATGTATTGTATGTATACACACACACACACATAAAGAGAGAGAAGAACACATACTTGTGCAAAAGGAAAAACAGGTGGGGGGGAGAGAGAAAGAAAAAGAAGAGAGAGAAGGAAAGACAGAGAGACACAGAGAGAGAGCACAAAGACAGCCTTACAGGAGAAGGCATTAGTAGCTGGGGAACCAGATGAGCTCTTACAATGACAGTGCTTGTGTTTAATCTCAAAGGAAGCCAGGGAGACCTAGGTTGGGAGGCAGAGAATTCCAGACATGAAGAAGAGCCAGTGCAAAGATGTGGTGACAAGAGATGGAGAATTATGTCTGAGGAACAGCCAGTATGCCAGTGTGGCTGGGCTGCAGAATACATGGAGGAAAGGAATGAGTTCAAAGGCACACTACCTCATCACTACCCTCAGCCTCTCTGATTTGAGGGCAGGGCCATGAACTCCAACCTCCACTTCAGGAGAGAGCTCACCTCAGGCATTATTACATCATTATTCTTGCTGTTGTTATTTATTATTTTTATTATTACTTATAATCATATTATTACTGCTATTATTGTTATTTATTTTTCTTTTTACTATTATTACATATACATTACATTGTAATAGAATCCTTAGGGATAGGGACTGCCTTTCTTTTTTCTTATTTGTATTCCCAAGGCTTAATACAGCACATAATAGATTCTTAATGACTGTTTACTGATTGACTGATTTAAAAGGCTGGAAAGATAGAAATTTGAAGGTTAAGAGCCTTAAATATCAAATGAAGCTTATATTTTATTGTAGGGGTAATAGGTAGCTATTAGAGTTTATTGAGTAGGAAGGTTAACATAGGCCCAGATCTGTACTTCAGGAAAATCATTTTCACAGCTATGTGGAAGCTCCAGTGTATACTAAATGGAAAATAACCCAGGGCTTCTTTCACTCCCACTGGTCCCAGAATAAGATAAATGCCTTAAGCTGTATCTCTGGCTTTGTTCCAGCCAAATAATCCTGGGAAAGTCATATCCCTCTTGGTGCCCTGCAGTGCTTAGATTTGCCTCACGGGCTGGCACTACCAAGAACAATATTCCTGCATTTTCCCTCGTTTTGACTATTAGTACTAGCCAAGACAGGATAGTATGTGCAGGGTCCATGACTCCCTTTGGCGAAGAGAGAACACCTCTCAAGTTTCCACATCCAAAACCATCATTACAGTTATAATGGGGTCCTCTACTACCCACTGTGAAGTTAAGGGTCATAGTCCTTCATTATAAATTCTGTTTTGAGAATTGAAGAGTATAAAAAAAGATAAGGGGAAACCATGCCAACTACAGTGAACAGCAAATGGTTTACAAGAGTTTCCTCCACCCCATCATAGCAACAGAAAACTCAGGGCCCTTCTGTTGTTTTTCTGCTTTGACTTTTTTTCGTGATTTTTTTTTTTCTAAACCAACAGATCCATGAAATTCTTGGTTATTTCATGCCGTAAAGGTGAATAAAGAAAACACTGAGATCTTCAAATAACTTTCACTGGGGAGCTCCCAGTTACGTTATTACTCAAAGATCAATTTTGAGTGGACAATGTCAAAGTGGGGAAAATCCTTACTTATGAATGCAAAGGCAATCCAAGGAGCCAAATCAAAGAAGTCTGAAGGAAAAACAGGCCTCCAAACTCTTCTTCATTTGTGACTCTACTCTGCATTTGCTATTCTGCCTGGTTTTAACTCCAAGGAACAAGATGCCCCCAGGTCAGGAACCCCTTGGATCTCCTTCTCCCCCCTCCCTTTCCTGCCTTTCTTTACATGTTGCCTCTTCTCCACCCCCACCCCCTTCCCTGTTAGACTGTAAGATCCTTGAGGGGAGAGACTGTCTTTCTTTTCATTAATTGTATCCCCAGTGTTTAGCTCACGGGTAGGGAACCTGGGGGCTCAAGGCCACATGTGGCCCTCTAGGTCCTCAAATTCAGCCCTTTGACTGAATTCAAACTTCACTGAACAAACCCCCTTAATAAAAGGATTTGTTCTGTAAAACTTGGATTCAGTCAAAAGACCACACCCAAGGACCTAGAAGGCCACATGTGGCCTCAAGGCTGCTGGTTCCACACCCCTGGTTTAGCACAATGCCTGGCTGGATTGGAGAGACTGGATTTGGCTAGGAAAAAGCTTCCCAACATACTACTGAATATTATGGATGCCAGGGAACCCATCATTTCTCATCTTTGCATCCCCAGCATACAGCACATTCCTTACATGGCAAAGACAGTTAATACAGGTTTCCCAGACAGGATGGACAAAAGCCAAGGAGTTTACCCCACATCCCCAAGGTCAAAGTAAAGGCCCAATCCTTTTACCAGTGAGGATACTCCAAGCTTCAAGCCATAGATGGTATGAAATCAAATGTCTTTTTTTTTTTTTATCAAAACTTCCCTTTTGGGAAGGGGCAGGGTAGTTACAAAACCCTGAAGGCATTTTCTTTGTTTATGTCTTAGGAAAGCAACTGGCTGGAAGAGCTGTATTGTTTTGTAGGATTGGGGCTGAAGACATAACAATAAATAACATTCAGAATGGTGGGGGAGGGGGAGTCCGGTTATACTTTCAGCCACAGATAGGAATGAAATCCTAAATAAATGAAGGCTGAAACTTTTTTATCGTCCTACCCGGTTGGGCTGCCGAGAGTCCCCCTCCAACTCACAAACAATCCACAACCCCCTTACGTTAACCCATAAGAAATAAAACCAAAAAGGTGAAAGCATCCAAATGAGTCAGGGACTCAAGAAAATGCCTTCCTCTGACTTTGTTTTGTTCCCTTACTACCTTGCCATATTACCTATTTTTCCACTAGAGGGCACTAAATGAGTGTCAAGTCTGGGACCTCCGTCCCCAGGCAAACCATATGAAAGTTACACCATATGAACTGGCTTCTTCTGGGAATGACTACAAAATATTTGTCTCCAAAATCTCAAGGAAGCCGCATTGTAAACTGCACAAACCATTGTTTTAATTAACTCTGGAACAGCTTCAGTACAGTGTAATAAACCATATCTTCCTCAGCCAAGCCTTTCAGCCTGCTGGAGGGGGGCCTCAGCTGTGAAAATAGCCAGTATTTGAGTTCAGAAGTTGTAAATCTGAATTCTCATACGTTACAAAATGTGCTTTAAAAACAAATAAACAAACAAATCAGCCTCGAAGCTGAAACGATGTTGGCTTACTTGGGGGTACTGGAAGAGAGGGTGAAATCGCTTCTCTATGATTAGTTGATACAAAAGCAATAAAACAGAATGACAATTTTAGCTCTTTAGAAGAACTTTAGGGACAATTTATTGTGATCCCTTCATTTTACAGATAAGGAAACAGAGGCTCAGAGGGAGAAGTAACTTTGTTAAGGTTACAAGGCTAAGCAATAGCTGAGCCAGAATTAGAATCCTCTTCACTAGCCTGGACACTTCATAAGGAAAAGGATGAGGCGTTAGCTAAACTTCCTATCACCTGCTTGCCTCACTTTGCACAGAACTCTGTCCCCCATAGGTGCTCAATAAATGTTTGTCACACTGATCCAAGCTTAGGCCACTGAAATCTCTGCCCACTGCTCTTTGCTGAACATAATGCTGAATTATGCAATTTTTTTTCTAACAAGAGAGGTTTCTTTTTTTCTTCTGCCATTACACTAGTTTTATATATTAGAAAATTTTATTTCAAAACAAATTAACCCCCATCAGAAAAAAAAATGTTGACAATCTTGAGGTGCTACTGGAAGAAATAAATAAAGCAAACATCACAAAGTTCATTATACATTCCAAGTTAGAAAGGAAAAAAATATTCATTACCTGTCCTTCAATACTAAGAAACTTGTCACATTACCTTTTCACCAGTAGGAAGAGAATAGTACTCAGGAGAAGTACCAGCTTGTTCCCCAAATGTGGAATAGTAGGCTACAGCTGACTCCTGAACCACTTCAGGGTTATCTTCCAAAATGTCCACGGGGTAAAAGTGTGCTAAGGAAAAATTACAAGGAGCTTAGACTGATTTGAGTTAAAAGGGAAAATCTCAAATATTAAAAAGGATTTAAATTTCACTCTTGCTTCTGCAAATGATGCTCATTTGTAATGAATAGGAGCAGTAGCAGCAGGCACTCAGGGAAAATAGAAGATAGTCATGATGGTCGGGATTGCACCAACATTGATGGTTTTGAGTTAAATATGCACACTCATGAATGCCTGCAGAAGACTGAGCATTCTGTTCAAGAGACCAGGTTGCTAAAGACATCCAGGAATAAATTACAGAGATTTCCATTTCCATCACAATTTCTCATTTATAAATGTTTGTTGAATTGGATTGAACTGAATTTATATTAGAATGTGGGCTTCCGTCTTTATAGCTATACTTTCGACATTCTCTATGTAGCTTCAACAGCTACCAGCAGTGGCCACATTAATGAACAAATCACTTGAAGGCTTATGCTACTTTGCATGAAAAAGAGTTGGGGTTAATTTGGTGATCCAAATTCCAATACCGATGATTGTATCCTACCTCTTAAATTCACTTTATGGGTTCAACAGGATTTGCTACTTCCTGTCCCTAGTTGTACTATTGCATTGGGGTCTGTAAATCTCAACATAGAAATACATTTTACCTTAATGGTTAGTTCAAATTCTCAGTCAGACAAGCAACATATAAGTGTGTAGGCAAATGGGCAGATGGACTAATATACCACATATATCATATTTTTTTCAAGAATTTATACCTTTCATATACTTTCTCTACCATTACATTTTGAGAAGAAAATCAAAAAATTGTTCCACTGTATAATTACATCTACCTACTCATCACACACACACACACACACACACACACACACACACACATACACACGCTCGCGCGCTCTCCAACTACTTTCTTTGGAACAACAAATTCCTTGTTAACAGGAGTTTCTCAAAGCAGTCTAGCCTGAGTTGACAAAGGTTTAATTTAAAGGAAAGGGCAAAAGTGTTCTGTTCCATGGACTAGAGTGAGTTCTGTCTCTCTCTCCTGAGCCATGGTTATAAAACTATAAGGTGCTGAAAGGAACCTCCAACATTATAAGACAGAAGAACCAATAAAGAGTTAGGGCTCTAATTGCTATCTGGTCCTTCTAGATCAAAGGTGTATATAAATCAAACCTGAAACCAAAAAGGAAAGATCTTTCTATATTATATAAATGCAAAGAGTGTGTGTGTGTGTGTGTTGCCCATATAGGGTTATGTGTGTCCACATGTGTTTGTCAAAATATGGCTAAAAGGGGGAAGACAGCAAAGCAGAAGACTGGCATCAGAAGCTGGTTATTCTGTTCTCCTCAGTAGAAGGGTACCAGACTAGAATTGTATCGATCAGACACCCCCACCCAAAATAGTCTTGAGGAAGTAATTTTTAGGTTCAAGCTGAGTTCTTGATCATTATCCCTTAATGGAGGAGTACTCTAAACTATATATCCCTTTCTACCAAATGTCAGTTACATAAAAACTACATAGCAAACGGACCCATTTATCTAAGCCAATACCAAACAAAATCAGATAAGTTATATGGATGAGAACATACCAGACAACACAGAGTGAATGAGCTCTCTCACTGGGAGCCTGATATCTCAGTTCAACCAAGAGTCCCAGATCTCATTCAAGGGGAAATCCTCTGAAGTGTCTGGCATAATAAGCTGAAGTGACTAAGGTGCCAGCTCCTTTACATGTTAGCTTCTTCCTAGAGTCTTCTCTCCCTTCAGGCACATCTCTCTGAAAAGAATCTGGAACCACATGTCTTCCCTCTTAAAGCCAGGAGGCAGAAGACCAAAATCTCTCCTTTCTCAAGACCTGACCAAATCTGCCTTTCATGCAGGTGGGAAGCATTAATCAATCTCCACCAAGGAGGACAATCTTATAAAAATGAGCTTTGCAATACAAGGATCTAAGATATCTCCAAAGGCCTCATGATGGAAAATGTTATCCACATCCAGAAAAAGAACTATGGAGTTTGAATGCAGATCGAAGCATTCTATTTGTTATTTTTTTTCTTCTGTTGTGTTTTGTTTCCTCATTCTGGTGGTTCCTCCTATTAGTTCTAATTCTTACTTACAACATTACTAATGTGAAAATATGTTTAATAGGAATGTATATATATATATATGTATGTATATATATATATAGCCTATATCAGATCGTGCACCTTCTTCGGGAGGGAGGTGTGGAGGGAAAAGGAGAAAAATAAAACTCAAAAGCTTATGGAAATGATTGCTGATAATTCAAAATAAATTAATTTTTAAAAATAAGCTTTGAGCCCCTGGTTCCATAAGCATCCTTCTAGTCACTTGAAAATCACTGCCCTCTTCCTATTTTATCTCTTACTGTGTGCATTCTTTCTTTTTTTTTTTTTTAAGTAGATTAAGGAATGCTAAAAGGAAGAGTGAAAGTTTAGGGTTCAATTTTCAAATTTCATTTCAATTTTATAATTGCTCACGGTCTTGCTTTTAGACCTATGGTAGCTTAATTTCATTTTCGCCCTGAGCCTGTGGGCACTAATAAATTGTATAGGTACCACACTATACCTACACAACTGGCCCACAGTTAGCACCTTCTTCTAAATCTCCAATTCCCTTGGGTCTTCACTGTCTCCTTCCCAGGCATTATCTATGGTAGGAAAAGGGGCAAATTACCTCCCTGTAGGTAGGCTGTAGGAATGCTACTGTGTAATGGACATTATACTATTGTGTCTCTTGTATAACATTTTAAAAAATGTAATATTTCACATATACCTGAAGTTTCAACAAACACTTGCCTACTGAAATTGCTAATTCCTCTCAAAGGCTTTCAGTTGGTTTCCCATTGGAATGCCAATATAAAAATGTTCACTATATATATTTATATTTAGTAAACAAAATGAACAGGGGTTAAGGAGGAAAGGAACTGAGCCACTTCAATGCTATTTTGTTTATTCCATTGGGCTAGCTCCAGGTAGCAATCTTTTGGACCTCAAAAACTCATTTAGACCATGCCAAATGGGTAGCTACTTCAATTACAACCTCTGCTAGGCTAGTGACTATCTGCAAGGCTGCTTTAAAAGATTCCAAAGATACCATCATGTGCACCATCTTAAGAGACAACCTGGAAACCAAGCCCCTATTTGACAATAGGTCCAGCTGCTGTTTCAGAATAGTTTACTGCCAGGGTAGAGATGACAGAGGATCTCCCAACTTCCACTCTAAATCGGGCAGGCACGTGTAGGAAAATACACATAGTGTTTGACATAAGAACATTATTAATGATCTCCTGTAGTGTGGCTGGGCTGAATCCAGCCATGGGCACTGCCTCCTTACACATTCCCTTCATGCCGAGAGAAGGAATCAAATCCTCAGGCCACTGTGGATTGGGCAGAACAGCTGTGTAAGGGAAGGCCCACACCATGGACCCTAACCACACCACACCCTGATGGGCTGTTCCCTTGAGTAGATAGCCAGTCCTCACAGGGTTTCCCAGGAAACACTGCAGGCTGCAAAACATCTTTAGGAAACTATTAGTTAATACAGCTAGAAGAAATTCATATGTATTTTACAGCTTTTGAACCATTTGATCACTTTCTCTTTGGGGTTAAATTCCAAATGCGCCAAAAGAATTAGGGATGGATTTATATGTTCTGTGGATAGAACAAGTTTACTCTAGACATTTTCTTACTCATATACTATCCCCCAAAACTCCCAAATTAAAACTTTATAAGGGTTTTTTTAAATAAAACAGACACTTGATTATAGATTAGATGTGTGGTTTTCTATTTTTCTTAAGGACCTAACTGATCTTTATCAGGCATTAAATTACCATTATTAAAGCTCAGGAAATCAGTGCGCTATATTTGATCCATAAAGTCCTCTAAAACAAATGGCCATTAAAAAAAAAATCTTATAGCCTCCTTACATATTTTGAAGACTGGCTCAGCTGTGCTTGTGAGCAGTGCCAGGTTGCCAGCATAAATTAATCCTCATAAACAACAGTGAATGTCGGGAAAGAGGTGTGCGCTGTAGAATATTTTTAACAGTCGCAAAATAATGTGGCACATTTGCTAGTTTTCCTTTTAAAGAATCACTTTCAAATGAATTCCTGAGGCTGGAGCCATTTCAGCAGCTTTGGAATTTGGAGACTTAAAGATTCCATAGGACTCAAGAAGGCAAGGACAGGTTTTTAACCAATTAGGAAACGGGATTCCTTTAAATAGTTTTATCATATGCAGCAGTGGCACAACAGTCTATTGTGCTCTCCAGACCTAAAAGGGTGTGCTCTGAAAGGGCAATGTGTAGAATGGGTTACCAAGGTTTTTTGTTGTCTTTTTTTTTTAAAGTAATAAAAGAGGGCCTCTTTCTGAAGCCGCAGAGGAGGTACCATATAACCATAAGGAGTGTAAATTTAGAAACGAGAGGCCTACTGCGTTGTAGGGATTCCAGACATTCCAACATTCACACATTGCTTCAGAGCTCAAAGGAGCTGCCATCTTAAGGAGCCAAAGCTGGTAAACAAGGTCATTACATCACAGAGGGCCAGATTCAACAGCAACAATGGAAAGGAAAGCAACAGCTAGGTAGGGATTGCTTGCCCTTCCCCGGGACAAATGAGTTCCTTGCTGGGAGGAGAACGGATAGGATGGGGCAAAACTTTGGGTAAATCAACACATGAGGCAACAGTTACAGGTTTATGAACTTTTAAATTGATGTATATTTTTTGTATATTTGAACTTTTAAAATTTATTTAAATTGATTTTTTTTTTCTTCCTCTTGGGATAGATATCCCCCTTGCCTCTCCCCATCTGAAAAGTTCTGCAGTTCTACTCATACATACAAAATAGTTTGGTTGAGTTTCTGGAAAATTCAGGGCTTGTGAAAAAATGAGTAGTAAGGGAGCTGGACAGAACACCTCCCCTCCCTGCTTCTGGCACCCAAAGTAGCCAACACATTGCAAGACTGACCTACAACACACCTGCTCTTTTC